TTTCTATAAGTTTGATTGACCGATTCTTTAAAAAAAGAACGCCGAAGTTTACACACCTAGCCCCCATAGCTTCTCGAGCCATACATCTATCGAAGCGCAGGTTGCCCAGGTGGTAGATATAAGCATTTACTGGGCCATAAAAACCCCTGTACATACATATCCTGGCTAGAAGGGTGAAAGCTTAGTATGTTCAAGATTCCACAAAGGCTTGGCATACTTATCGGGTGGTTGAGAGTTAATTACAGGTATTTGGATGGGTGCTCGAGATATGACGGTCGTGTTCTTGCAGAGCTGTAGCCGGCTCCACTTCTCGACACTCACGTTACTAAAGGATTGATTACACGAGCGGGCAGCAATAATAAGGTTCCCGAGTACAAGTAATTAAAGCCTCGTCTATGATTGGTAAGAGAGGACGAGGTGCAGTTATACTTGTACCCATGCCCAGGAAGGTTCACTTAATACTACATGTATTTCTCTCTCTGCCAACAGCACGTTACCTGAAATCCGTTCTAGAGCACCAGCACCCAATCAGATTGGATGTAGTCGGGGCAGGTAAGAAGAACCTGAAAATGACTTTTGATGGTGACAACCTCTGACTCGCGGCTGGCGAAAAGCTACACCAAATTGAGCACCTGCTTGCAGCTTGCATTTTCAGGTTCTTATTGCCTGCCCCGAGTATCATCAGCTGCAACTGGTGCCGTCTTCAGACCGTCTCGCCACAATACTCGACAGGAAGATATACAACTGAGCACATCAAAGAATCGCCCAATCTACCCAGGACTATCAAACCCCAATTCCAAAAGTTCAACCTCAACCTCTCCCCGCCATGCCCGGTTAGTAAACACCCGCATCTCCACAGTGATCCACCATGGTCACAGTAGTAGTACAACCACTGATAGCAAATCAAACAAGATGCAAAGGCCCAATTATCCGCGCACCTCCAAAGTAATTACCACCCCGGAAGAAGAGGATAATCCGGGCATGCAGCATCCGAAGCGAGAACCGCCGTGGAGAATACCTACCCGATGTCCTCTCCGTCCGTGCCATGCATGTATCCTGGACGGCGGGTACAATTAATAAATGGCGGGAAACCCTAACCCTGAGTCCACATCGAAAGCGCGTGGGGGTGCATACATACATGGTTGATCGTAGAGGTAGCCTTCTAGAAGAGAGTGGATTGTGGGGTGCTTGGTGTCTCTGGTGAGAAGCTTGGGGCTGTAGCGCTGGATTTTGGGGATTGTGGAGACCTTATCTTTGCGTAGTGGGACGGAGAATAAAATGCGCCTGTGGAAGTTGGAATAAGCTCCTGCTGGAACGAGATTCTTCTCCAGCTTGGCTTGAAAGCGTTAATTCGATTAAATTGTTTAATTCTGCGCGCCTTGTCGATTGACCGCTGCCCTCTTGATGCGGCCACTTTAAGACGATAACCAGTGAGTTGAGCACTGAACACACGCACATGCATGATATTAATAGCATGAGCGGGAGTGGAGACAATTAAGCACGATATCCTCTGGCCATCATCCATCATGTGGTATATCACCAGCCGGCTCTACCCATATATATCCCGCGCAGAGATTGGGCAGCACCGATCTGCGGGGTGGGGGGATGATGGACCAGACACCGTATTCGACACTCCACTCCTTACTGTGCTGATCACCCGTTCATACGTATACATCTACCCTATCCTACCATACTCTACGTACATACCTATGAAGCTGCTCAATATATAAATACACACAAACGGGCGATCCTCCTCCCTCCAGGCCATGTGCACCGCGAAGCGCCTGTCAAGGTAGACTCGACAGTCTTTCCCCGCGGCGCTCCCCGCACGATGATGGAGTGACAAGAAAGTGTAGAATACCTAGTACATACAGAGCACATATATAATATACATATACCGCCAAAACTCGAAAAATTGGCTATCTCCGGCCAGGGATTATCACTCGAGTGATTGGTTGAATGGCATTGATCTGCATCAGAAGTTTCCCATACAAGTAATTTTGATCTCTGGAAGCTAGCCAATTTTTCGAGTTATGGCGGTATTTTGTTTTGTGTCCGCCTCGCGGGTCTGCCTGTACCACCGTTACCCACATGTACTGTAGCATTGTCGGTGTCGGCCTCGTGTCGCACAAGCTGGCCCATCGTGTCCGGTCACGCAGAGTGCTTGATGGGGCAGTCGCACCGGCCGGCGGTGATCAATCAATGTGGTGGGCGATAACGAGACCTTTTTTTGTTTTTTCGTTGCTTTTCTCTTCTTGTCTGTCTCTCCAGTTCAGCTGCTGCAGGTGCTGTTTCAGTGCTGCAACGGTCATTGCGCAGGCGATTGGCTGTGGTTGAGAGAAGCTTTCTGGTTGCAGCAGGTGGGAATAGTACTCTATCTACTGCTACTAGTATCACCCGGAAATAGGAAATGGGGTGCGGTGGAGTATAGTAGTTGCAATTAATGTATCGTATGCTCTGTATGAGACTGTATCGCAATAGGTATGTACTATACTTGTATGATAGGCCCCAGGACGAGTGAGCTGCTTGCGTGATTCGAGCTCTCTCTGTTATATATATATATATAGTCTCCCCACCGCCGCATCTCGTCCCCCCCCCCCCCCCCCCCCCAGCCCAGCCAGCAGTTACTACACAGCTATCCAAGCAGCTCCACACTAGGCTGAACTCTCCCATCCAAAATGAGCAGTACAGAACCTCAAAAAGACCCCGGCGTGGTCGAAAAGAAGGACAGCGCCAGCTCGGACCTGGAGCGCTCCAGCGCGCCCGCCGAACACGCGCACTACACGGGGCGCGTCGACGAGAAGGAGTACGGGCATGTGCGGCGCGGGCTCAAGGCACGGCATGTGCAGTTTATCGCCATCGGCGGCATCATTGGCACGGGGCTGTTTGTGGGGAGCGGGGCGGCGCTGCTGAGGGCGGGCCCGCTGAGCATTCTGATGGCGTACTCGATCGTGGGGACGGTGATATACTCGCTGATGCTGGCGATTGGGGAGGTGAGTGACAGATGTCTGTGTGTGTGTGTGTGTGTGTGTGTGTCTGTGGATATATATGTGGCAAGTGCTAAGGGGGCGGGGGGACTGTTGCTTGGGTAGATGACGACTTGGCTGCCCATTCCGGGGGGTTTGACTGTCTATGCGCACCGGTCAGTATATATATGCAGACGGATACATCATACTGCAATTAGAGAGTGCCGTGCTAACGGCCACAGCTATCTCGACCCGTCGTGGGGCTTCGCGATGGGATGGAACTACACGCTCGGGGCCGGCATCACCGTGTGTGCAGAGGTGTCGGCGGCCATCCTTCTGATTGAGTACTGGAACGACAGTGTGAGTAGAGAGTGCTCTAATCTGTGAATATATAAATATATATATCCTCCATTACCATACTAATACCTCACCCCCCAGGTCAACATCGCCGTGTGGATTGTCATCATCCTTGGTGTAATATTCATCCTCAACATATTCGGTAATATAATATGATTAGCCCCCGCCCGCATCCGTCCCAATTATTACCCCCCCGCACGTGCACTCTGCAGTACTAACAACCTATTATGAACCCGCAGTCGTCGAGGGCTACGGAGAGGCCGAGTTTGTGTTTGCGAGCATCAAAATCATCACGATCATCGGCCTGCTCTTCCTCGCAGTCATTCTCTTCTTTGGCGGCGGGCCGACTCATGACCGCATCGGGTTCCGCTACTGGAACGATCCCGGGGCCATGCGCGCCTACCTCAAGCCGGGCGCGACCGGGCGGTTCCTGGGCTTCCTCAAGTCGTTTGTGAATGCGTGAGTACTACTTCTCTACCGGTCCTCCATGCACTCTACTGCCGCCGGCGTGTACTGATCGATCCTCCACGTACCAGCTGCTTTGCCTTTGGCGGGTCAGAGGTCATCTGCGTCGCCGCAAGCGAGACGACGAACCCGCGCCGCAACATCCCCAAGGCCGTGCGGAGAACGTTCTGGCGCGTGCTCATCTTCTATGTGTTTGGCGTGCTGGCGATCGGTGTCTTGGTGCGTGTGTCCGGGGGGAGATCCAGAGAGAACCGGTGCCGGTAGCGAGGACTGAATGAAGACTGACGACTGAGATGCCCAGGTGCCATACAACGACCCGGGCCTCACCACGGCCCTGGGCAACGGCGCAAAGGGCGCTGCAGCCTCGCCGTGGGTTGCGGCCATTGTGAATGCGGGCATCGGTGTGTGGTCTCCGTCTGCAGTGCTTTGGATTTATATTGTTATACGATGATGCTGACCTACGTCTGCAGACGGCCTTCCCAGCGTCATCAACGCCGTAATCCTCACCTCTGCCTGGTCCTGCGGAAACAGGTGTGTCCACACTCGATCATACCCGCATCTATAGCCCATGGAATGAACATCTTGGCTGACTGCACGCACAGCTTCATGTTTGCGGCATCCCGCAACCTCTACGCGCTCGCAATCACCGGCCACGCCCCAAAGGTCTTTGCGCGCTGCAGCAAGCGCGGCATCCCGTACTTTGCCGTGTGCACCGTCTTTGCCTTCACCATGCTGTCCTTCCTGCTGCTGTCTGAGCGGTCGTCGGTGGTGAGTGTGCATTCTATCCCCCGTCTTGAACCTATGGTCTTTCTAACGGGTACATGTATAGGTCTTTAACTGGTACTCCTCTTGAACTCTCCCCTTATACTCCACCTCCCGGAGTTACGCTGACAGATCAGGTTCATGAACATCACCACCCTCTCCAGTCTCTTCAACTGGCTCACGCTCTTCCTGGCCACCATCCAGTTCCGCAAGGCCTACCAGTCCCAGGGCATCGAGCACTCGGCCCTCCCCTTCCACTCCGTGCTCATGCCCTACGCCGCCTACTACGGCGTCACCATGGTCACCTTCTTTATCAGTACCTCTCCCGACCCCTCCCCCGCGAAAAAAGAAAAAAAAAAAAGAAAAAAGGAAATGCTAACACCACAAACAGTAATCAGCGGCTTCGACGTCTTCTTCCCCCAAAATTGGTCCGTCTCTGACTTTTTCGCCACCGTGAGCACCCATCCCCCCCGGAAGTGGAGTAACGAAGCTGACAAGCGGATCGCAGTACTCGGGAATACTGATGTTCGCGGTGCCCTTCATCGGGCACAAGCTGTGGTACCGCACGAAGCTCACGCGCCCCGCCGAGATCGACATCTGGACGGGCAAGGAGGAGGTGGACGCCTACGAGCGCGACAACGTGCCGAAGGAGGCGAGGAATGCGTAAGTTGCCTTGGAGTCTGAGGTGGTGCTGGAGCTGATTATGATATGACGCTGACTTGCGCGGTGTAGGTGGGAGAAGGTGTGGTTTGCGATTGCGTAGTTTGGGGTTCGTGGGGGGGGGGGGGGGGGGGGCGTGCTTTTCTCGGAGGCTGCGGTGTGGGGTGGGTATATGGGGGTAAAGAATGAGTGTATGATTGACGTGGGCCTGACGGCTCGTTCTTATGTCTGCTTATGGTCTACTAAATAAATATTTATTTCGCACCATTAATTATTCGGGACGGTGCGATTTGGGAGTATGGAAATAGTAAAGGTCATACTCACTTCCGGCGTTTAGATATATCTATGTACCTGCACAAACGCCTTCACCTGTCGACCGGGGAGTCTGCAATTCAATCAGTACCCAGAGACAATCTGTAGAAAGTGGCGGCGCGCAGATTCTCTCATGCATGAAACAGAAAAACAAACTACTGACCCTTCACCTCGGCCCCCGCCTATACGAAATAGCGGAAGGCCTGCGGGGCGGGGAAGGAGGGGCATCTTGTGGTGGTAGTACATACGTAAACTATTAATACACCTCATCTGAAAAAATATCATCTTTTTCAATAACCCTGTATTAAATCTGGGGACCCACCATGGCCAGCTTTTAGTGCATGCATTTAGCATTGGCTACCTGATGTACTTTCCTGGCGAGTGTATTTTGAAAGCTGTAAAAAAAACAGGAGTGATTTTTAATTTTTATTTCTATAAACAGGGATGGGAGTTAGCTCGTGGAGCGAGTGAGCCTTTGTGAGCGGAGCGGGGATATAGCGATCAATGGGGTCGTGATTTACGTACGAGCCCGTGGTCAAAAGAACCCAGTTGCACGTCTAGCAACGGCAACTACCCACAAATAAACGCCAACGATGGGTTCCACTCCCCTCCGCAATGGGCACAGTGGCCACTGGACGACACCCACTAGAGTAAGGGTATATACTTTACTTGAAGATGGGCGTTCTCAAACTGAGGTATCTCAATAGACCGGGGTACCACAGCAAACCATTAGTGACTGGTGCCGAAATTCTCATCATTCCCGCCTCAACCACCACTGACCCGGCCGCCCGCGCCAACTCACAGAACACGACATCCGACACATTATTAGGATTATTAGAAGGGGCTGTGAGGGAAAAGGGCTTTGCTGGAGGAAATTAGGGAAAACAGCCAATCTTGATGGGTCACTGCATACAATTCAACGCGCACTAGCTCAAAAAGGCTAACACTGATGCAAGGCCTGCAAGAAGCCAGTCCTTAGTTGTGAAAATCAACATGAAAGAACAGCCTACACCAATGAACAGTTAGGCAAAACAAAAGACTTTTAGCGTTCCCACATGTATTCCGATGAATTCACCTTTGACACCTCTGCTCCTGGCTCAGCGTGGGTGATACGACTTCCAGGTGAATGATTCCCAGGATGATTTTATTCAATATACTTTCAACAGTGGACGGGGGTCTGTTCATGTATGGGAAGCAACCAGTTTCAATTGGAAGTCAGAGCTAGTGTTTTTGGTCGGTACTGGTAGAAAATGTATTTGTGCAATGCACTATATGGAACAAGTCTTAGGACCCATAGCTGCGTCAGCCTTTATGGGTATGCTTGACTATGATGCATCTACGGGTGGTCTATATATTGAGGATATGGCGCAATGGCATGGGACTCAAAAGGCATTGGTGGAAGTCAAAAAAATACTTGACATCCCTCTCCATTCCACACTTGCTCAATCACCTGACTTTAACCCAATAGAGAATGTATGGGAAATTATGAAACAACTGATTAAAGCAAGGTCTGAATTTCCGAATACTGTAAAACAGATGGCAAAGACAATTCAGGAAGGGTGAAATAGGCTGAAGTCAAAGGATTGGAATGGATTATTGGTAGCATGCCAGCAAGATTGCAGGAATTAAAAAAAAGCAAAAACTTATAACTCAATATTAAATAATGAATGTATTTAACTATACTTAAGCTTAAATCTATTTTAAATAGGAGTCATCAACAAAAAATAAAGTCTCATCTTGTCACGCCTGGGCGCCACAGACGTGTAACGGGCGTCTATGGGCGTAGGGACTATAGTACCAAGGAATACAACCGAGGCGAAGACGTAGTAGTAGGTATTCAAGACTATGGAGTATGGGGTGGCTCTGCCTGGTCTGACCAATCAGTTGAACCCTATGGCGAGAGGTAGAATAAGAGTAGTATTCGTGAAGTAAATACAGAGATTGCATGAAGAGAAGAGAAGAAGAAGGAAAACATGAAAAGGCACGGGACAACCCCCCCTTATATATCCAACTTCTAGTCCATTGATGACTAATACCCTGCGTAACAGAAACTGAAAGAAAATAACGGAAACCCCATTACAAATACTAGTTCAACTGCGTAATACCTCCTCTTCACGAATCACTCTATCGCCTTAGCCCAAATATAATGCTGCCAATACAAGACGCACCAGACGCTCCAGAGAATACAAAGCGATTTCTTACCTGCATAGCGACACTTGGGTAATCCGCGACAAGACCTTTGCGTCCCTTTATCAAGTGATATCGTCGCGACAGGTCTAGAAGCAAAGTCACCTCCTGGCGTCTCCATACTAGTATTCTTTGGCCCGGTTAATGGGTTTCGATAGCGGTTTTTCCTGGCAGAATGAGATCACTCAGCAAAAGGTAAATGTAACGGGGGTCTATGGGCGTAGGGACTATGGTACCAAGAATACAACCAAGGCGAAAACGTAGTAGTAGGTGTACAAGACTATGGACTATGGAGCGGCTCTACCTGGTATGACAAACTAGTTGAACTCTACGACAAGACGTGGAACAAAAGTAGTATTACTGGAGTAAACATTGGCAAACTTAATAATTTCTGTAAAGTATCTCCTGAGTCTCCAGAGAATCAAAATCAGTTTTGAAATCTCAAGAGAGACTCAGGAGACTCAGGAGACTATTGGGAGATTCATGAATATGTACAAACTTGCTGATGAATACAGCATAAATGGATAGATAATTTATATTTCTTTGAAGTACAAGACTTATCGCACACCATCAAGCTCCGCTATCAAACAAAGGAAAGAAAGAGGAAAATGAGAAACACGAAGGAAAGAAGAATTGAGCAAGGAGATACGGAAGAACGTGTAGAGAAAAGTAGGAAAGCCTTAATCCTCCGGATCCTCCTCGTCCATCTCGTACCAGTCAAATAGGTTTGTTTTGGCTACGAATTGTAATATGAGGTTTACGTTGAGGTTCATGAAGAGGCAGTTTTCCCAAGTGGGTGGCCCTGGGAGGTTGTTCATCAGTTGCCTTCGGATTTGTGTCCATCGGGGGCATTCTATCATGGCATGTTTGGACAATTGTTCTGAACCACACTGACAGGGCTCGGGGTCTGTATATACTGTGTGTGTGTCTAGTCTGGTGACCGGGCATTGTATGCGGTGTATCAGTTTTGCCTTAGATATTGGAAGTTTCGTTCATTTGGGGTTGATTTTGAGGGTTCCGGGTTCATGGTAGTTGGTGATCGGGGTGGAGTTCCATTCTTCCAACATGCGTTTGGTGATGAGATCGTTTTGTATCCATCGTTCTCTACGGTTTCCTGTTTACTAGAAGGGAAGCATGAGTGTCGCGATTCGGTGGAGGCACATGCCTTTGGAATTCTTTGTCTTGGAGGTGAGGAGTTGGATAAGTTCTTCGTTGAGAGGGTGGCCAGCCGGATATCAAAGGATCCGTGTAAAGTATTTCCGTATTTTGTGGGTGAGGAGGTGTTCCAGTGGGGAGAGTGCTGCCTCTTTTAGTAGCTTTTCGATTTTTGTCAAGCGGGGTAGGCCGGTTATAACTGGGGCTGCTTCATTGTAGAGTGGGTGGAGTGATCTGAGAGCGTGCTCTGCTCCTGTGCACTATGCTTCCGATCCCCATAGGATTGTAGGGAGGAGGCCTTGGATGATAAAGTGGTGGGTGGATTTTAACGTTTTTGTAGGAAAGTATGCTATATTCCTGATTTGCCCTGGGATATGGAGGCCCTTAGTGATTGTTTCTTATATGTGTGATTGGAAGGAGAGGTTTGAGTCCAGCCAGATTCCGACGTATTTGAGTCTGTCTTTGTGGTAGATTTCCTCATTTGCGATTGTGACTAGGTGCTTTGGTGTGCGGGAATTCGATTTTGTGGGTTTGAAGAAGATAAGGTCGGACGTCTGTGGCTCGTATTTGATGTTGAGGGGGTTGCCTTTTTGACCCTTTCGGCCATTCTTTCGTTTAGCCTTTTGGTGGCGAAGAGGGGCGTTTTTGCAATTTGGACGAGTGTGTCGTCATCGATGTAGGTTGTGTTGAGTTGTTTGTTGGAGTTGCTGGGGTCTGTTATGACTACTGCGTATATTATGAATAGAACTGGGGATAGTGGGGATCCTTGGGGTAGTCCCGAGTTGTATTGTTGTGGGGTTTCTAGTTCGTTATTGAACTGAATTGGAGTGTTCGGTGGATGTTGAATTCCTTACATCAGTTGGTTAGGTAAGTCGGGAACTTTTGTTGGGTCATGATTTTTGCGAATAAGAGGTGGTCGACGTAGTTGAAAGCTCCTTGTATATCATTTGTGAGGAGTGTTGGTCTGTCTGGGTTGGTTCCTGTGGGTCGTTTGAGTGAGAGGTTCTGTTGAATAAGTATGAGGGTTTGGAGTAGGGCATCGATCGCTGAGATTGTTGGTCTGCCTCCGAATTGGTCTTTGGTGATTGTTTCTAGAATGGATCTGACTGTGCATAGTCTTGTTGCCACTATTTTTCCCAATACTCTGCTGAAGAATTGCAACAGGGAGATTGGTCGGTAGGTTTTGGCCAATGTCTAGTCGGATTTTCTTGGTTTTGGGATTGGTACACATTTTGGCACTTTCCATCGATCTGGTTGGACTCCATGGTGGAGCATGGCTGAGAACATATCTTGGAAGAGTTGGGTGTTTGCTTTTATTGTCGCCTGTATGAACGGGTATGGGATACTATCGGGGGCAGTGGCTGAGTGTATTGGGCAAAATTTAATTGCGGATGTGATTTCTTCTGGTGTCACTTCCTGAAATGTGTCACTAAAATCAAAGGAGAGGGGTCTGATTTGGAGTGGGGGTTTGTTGGGGGACGTCCAATTTGTGCGGAAGAGTTGGGCTCTTAAAGCTTGGCACTTCTCCACAAAAGTTGCTTCAACTTGTATGGTTGGGATTGTGATATCCCTTCTCCTTCCTGAATTGACTAGTTTCCAGATGGCACTTCCTTTGGCTTCCGTGAATTCTTTATCCCTCTGTTCTGCTTTGGCTTTGCAGATTATAGAGTTCGATTTCCTGCTTGTTTTCCTGAATGCTTTCCTTTCCATTGTGTTAAGGGTCATTCTGAGCCTTTTTAGTTCCGGGGTCTACCATTTCTTAGATTTGATGTGTCCTTGGCTTTATGGGGTGACTTAGTCTATTAACTTGTCTATATGTTTAAGTATAAAGTCGACTGATTGCTTTGTATGCTTCTGCGATTCCCACGCTTTGACGGGGAAGTAGAGGCCTGGGATGTTTTCTTCTAATTTCTCCCAGTTTGTTCGATACCATAGCCTTCTGGGGATGTGGGGGGGTTTTCCTATTCGTAGTTGTATTATCGTTTTTCCATGGTCGGAACCCACCCCATGACGGTGGATGTTCCAGCGGACATCGTAGTCTAGGACTGGTCCTTTGATTAGTGTTAGATCGATGATGGTCAGTCCATTGTTGTTCTTAGGGAAGTGTGTGAATTCGCCTAGTTCATTGAGTAGGGATAGCCTTTATCAATCGATCCATCTTTTCAGCTTCTTGGATCTTGACTTGTCTGGTCTGATCATATTGGTGTAGTCGTGGGATCTGTTTCCATGCCAGAGTTAGTGATGGCTGTTGAAGTCCCCCATAACGAGGAGGTTTTGGATGATAGTTATTGGCGGGAAATTACTGCGAAGGGCCCACTTCATCCTAGTGAGTATATGTTGAGAATATGTGTTTTTTGGCTCTAGATTTCCACCGTTACGGAGACAATGAAATTATTGTGGGTATAATGGTGTTTTGGTTTTAGGTTGGATTATTTTCTGATATATATGGCGGCTTTGGTACCCTTGGTGCTGGCTGTGAATAGGTAGAAGAGAGGGGATTCTGGTGGGTGGCCGTCCTTATTCTTCCATGGTTCTTATCACATAAGAAAAAGTATGTTGTGGTCCTGTTCTGCTTCCTTCACTACTGACTTTGTTGTAAGCCCGTTTTTTGTGCAGTTCAGTTGCTGTTCGATAGCTGTATTTCTTTTGTTGTAACTCATTGGGTTTTATCTATGGCTGTGTTTTCTTCTGCGGGGGCTTCTGCTGAGATTACTATGGGTACTGGTAGTGAGGTCGCATTTGTGTCTGGTCCGAGTTTGTTTGTAATTCGCACCTTGGTTCGTTGTAGGCAATTCCCGTCTGTTGCTTTGTGGGAGGTCTTGGAATGGTAGCATCGGATGGGTGTGTGGATACATCTGACGCCTCTTGAGCATTCGGAGCATGGATGTTCCTTTATTTGGTGGTCCTCTGCACAATGTCCAAATCTCCTGATTTGGTGAGAGCATCTTTCATATCGGTGGCCATATTTTATGCATTTGGAGCAATGGGTGTCTGGGCTGGCTGAGAGGTAGTTGTCGATTTTGGATTATCGGTCGAATAGGGTGAGGTATCGTAGTCCGAGGTTGTCTTTTATATACTGTCCGCGAAGTGCGATTATCATTGACGAGTGTGTTTACCACACTCTGGCCTCGGGTCTGCTGAGTCATCTGGGGATTTGTGCCATTTCAAATGTGGTTCCGTAGTTGCTTCACACTTCTGAGGCCATGGCCTGTCCTGCTTCGTAACCGTGTCCGATTGTTGTAGGGATTCCATGTACGATGAATTTATAATATCTGGAGTTAACCCTGATGTTAACAAAGGGGACTTTGAGTTCTTTCAGGGCTGCTTTGATTTCTTGTTTGTATTCGAAGGCTTTCGAGGCAGGTGTGTTGAATTTGGTTTCTAGTACGATGTTATTTTTGAGGTTTTCCTGGCGGCAATAAATTGGCAGTCCGGGTTTTCGATTTTGGAGTTGATTCTTGTCCTGATATCGCAAGGGGTGGCCGGTGATTTCTTGTTCGTTTCGATGACGATCTCTCTGTTGATTTTGGTGACTTCTGTTTTGAATAGGGGATCCGCTTTGGGTTTGGATTTCTGCTTGTTCGTGACCGTGGTATATTAGTGGTTGGCGTTTCCTGCTGCAATGGATGTATAGGATTTTGGTGCTGGTGGGATTGGTGCTTCTTTGCCTTTTCCTGTTGCTTGTTGGGCATGGTTCGGGTTTATGGCGGGTGCGGTGGTAGGGGCGATAGTGGCGGCAGCGACAGCGGCGATGGCAGCACTTGTTCTTTCGTTGACTACTTTGTCACTGGGCCTGGAGAGATGAGTGAGTTGTTGTTGTAAAGGGTGGAGTTTTTCAGATATTCTGTCCTGAGTTTTGTCATTTCAAACATTTGTTTGTCCAGGGTGTCGATTGTGTGTTTGAGGGATTCGTTTCGGGTAGAGAGTATTGCGATGGTGGTTTTCAAATCCTTATTGGTCTGTTCGGTTGTCTGGTTGAGGGGTTCGAGCACAACGGTAAGGGCATTTCTGATTACCCATGAGATATAATTGAGCTCCCTCCTGGCATTGGTTTCTTGAGGGACAATACTAGTGTGGATGTAGTCATATTTTGGTGCGTACGGTTCATTGTATTGGGTGTGTTCAGCAAAGATAGAACATGGTTCCCCGCTGAGCTAGGTTTGTTCAATCGTGGTAGGCTGTGTTTGTTGGGTGGATTGAGTGTCGGGGAAGCGTGGGGGGGCCGGGGTTTCTGGTGGGGGTCTCCTGCGAACCAGGAGTTAAGGTAGGCTTGCTGGGACATCACTGATGTTCCGGATCGAGTTGGGTTGGGGAAGACTTCTGATAGAGTTCTCTTCCTGCCCATGGGGTTTGGGGGTTGGGTGGGTTTGGTGAGACCAGGTTTGTTGTTGTTTTGCACTTTGGTCGCGAGGCTTAAGCAAGGGTTGAGGGGTGGAGAGTTCACAATTCAGGAACTAGAGCGTGAATAACTTCGCGTACGAACAGATGTGTGATAAGATACCAATAGATTACACAGTATATTGACATACAGGATCGTGTTCGAGTAAAGGTTTTATCAGGAATGCAGGCCAAAAGTATCATTTGATCGAAAGTTTTGATGTTGCGAGGGTAAGATACAGGAATTGGAATTGGAATTGGATTTTATACATCAGCAAGCTCGCCTATTACCCAGGGCGCAGCCCCTACGTCCTGGCGGGCATTCTGCGCCACGAGTGCCCAGCGCGTCCGGAACCGCCAGAGTACAACCTTCGCGCCAGGCTCCGCCGCAGGACCGTCCCACTCTCTGGGACCGCCAAGAGATATGGCTCACGTCCGGAGGGCACTCGCCAATGCTCTGGTCGCCTGGGCCGCCATGAGATTCCCTCCCCCTCCGGAGACGCTAGGATGGAGTGACTCCGCCCACAGCACCTAGGAACTTTTGCTTCTTTTGATTACGTCAGTAGTACACGCGAGCACTTCTCAATGCTCTCACAGTTTTCTTGAATGCTCTCACGGAACGACGAATGCTCTCACAGCACGGCGAACGCTCTGACGGCACCGCGAATGCTCTCACGGCACCGCGAATGCTCCCGTGAATGCTCCCGTGAACGCTCCCGCGAACGCTCCCGCGAGGCCTTCCGCGAGTGCTCCCAGAGCACTCACCAATGCTCACAGAGCTGAGGCATTCGTCATACCCACTCAACGTGAGGCAACCCTCATTTGGGCTCCTTTGGATTGATACACCGTCCTCAAAGGATAGGAAGGCCGCACCAGTCCCTCAAAAGATATCTAACGTGGGTATCCTCAACGCCGCTGTACGGTCAGTCACGGGATACTGATACGAGCACTGTCCTGTATACTGGTGACGACTAACTAATCTTTGACGGACGTGTATGTTTCTGTCGATTCGTGAAAGGCATAATTAGCCTTGAGGTTGAGGCCATGGTACGGCTCGTCTGAAAAGCTCAATGTCCATGCATAAGCAGCAAACATGGACTGGCATTGACCTCCTGGAGTGAGCTTGCTGGATAGCCAGACTCAGACACTGAGCGGCCGAAACTTTACCTCCTTCTTCCAATCCGCAAGCATAGCAGAACGACACGAATTTTGAATTAGAGGGTCCAATTGGGTCTAACGTTCCTAGAGCACTCAAGAACGCCCTCACGGCTTTACAAGTATTCAACTAAATTCATTCCACGTACGCAAGTCTATCCTAGTATTTACCAACCAATTAGCAGTCTCCACCTCAAACAAATGGGCCATTCCCAATATACTCCGAATATTAACGACCCACATCCTCTTCCTCCTCCTCCTACAAACCTTCAGGAGCCCATGTGAGCTATCAGCGATACCACGATCCTTTGCCTCGAGTAGCTCCACTATTCATAATCTATCTGCTCGCCCCCCACTGTCCCGCAGCTTGAACAAAGCCTCGATACGTCCTGGTAAGCGTCCCCGAAACACTCCCCACTCCCCTGAGGACGCTACCGACACCCATACCCAATCCTTTCTTATTTTCCCTTTCCTAAAAGCCGCGTTTCCCGTACACCTGATATTGTGAACCTCGTACACCTCAGGTCTTTGGAAGATTGGTATCGGAACCTGCAAACATGTGAACATCTCCACCCGGCGCTCTAAAATGCTCTCAGAGCTTCCGGCAAAGCTTTGAGAGCATCCCGCATCCTCTGCATACTCCTTTATCAGGCGATATAACGTGGTATGGCTTATTTGCAGTCCATCCGCAATATTGAAAAGTCTTTCCGATTTCGTGGAGGGGTTGCAAAGACGCCTTAGAGGCAGTCGGCCTTCTACTATGGATCGTTCATTTGGTGTTTTTTTCCGGTCTTCGATTTTAAAAATCTCAAGTAACTCCTTCAGGTTATCTCGATGGCTCCAAAGGATGTCGTCAGTGCTCTCAGGACCTCCAACAATGTCTTTCAGATTCAGAATTCGAATCTCTAACGCCAACCGCCGCCCCCCATAGTCCAGTATCTGCGTTGCAGCATCGACCTTGTTGGATGCTCCGTATGCCTCTTTTATCTGACGTACATGGGCGAGTTCGCTGATGTCGGTGGAGTACTGGGGAATGCTCCCAAAGCGCTCGACATGTTCCCGATAGTGCGTTAACACGTGCAATTTGATGAAGTTGAAGTGAGACCTTTCCCGTATCTCGCGAATCTCCTCCAAACCTCGCTGAGCGCTCTGGGAGCCTGAGGTCTTCACAGCTTTTGTCCGATCTCTCGCATCCTTAACCGTCCTCTTGTACGCCCGGAATTCTAAAAAGATATCCTTGTGCTTATGGAAATCCTCGAGATAGCTCTCCATATAATTCAGTGTGCTCGTCGTATGACTCCCATACTGCGCCATTAAGTGGAAGTCGATTAAGCCTCGTACACATTTCAATGCCTTTGCGAAGTCGCCCCTGACAGCCACCCCCGGGTTTCTCAAAGCAGCCGCGAGTGCTCCAAGAACGACCCGCCCCAGATTTCTCATCTCCTTCCCTTGCCATTGGGTTGTGGCACGATATGCCTTGTTCGGTACTGCCAGTCCAGGGTAAGGCGCAATCGAGGCCCAAGCCTTGTCAAATTCCTCCAATCGATTGTGCTTCTTCAAGAAAGCCTGAACCCACTCCATCATGTGCTTCAACATCCCTAGGTAGATATTGTGCAGAATGTCCGGTTTGTTGAGATCGTATGGATTAACCCTCGGCATACCCCAGAAAGCATTGAAGAGTGTCTTTACTGATCTCGCGACAAGGTATTCCACCGGTCCCAGGTTTCCCGGGTTCTCCCTGAATAGCTTTACCCTCTCCCGGTAATCCTCGTGATCGCGCGTAGGGCTCCGGCGAGTGCTCCCAAGACTGTGGAATTCCACCTCGCATCTTGGACAAGAGCTAGTACTAATATTTTGTAAGTTTGAATGCTCAGGTTGATCAGCGATCCAACCCGACAACACCGGAAAGCATAGACGTTCGTACCCGTCGGCGTATGCGATTAGCTCGCCTTCCTGAGAGCACTCCCGAATGCTCTGAAAGATCTCCCCAAGGGCGCGATGCAGTGCCATTTGACTCTGACGTCGTAAAGTGGAATTAGCGAGTGAGTTCTTCCCGAGCTTAGGTGGGACTGGCAGTAGCCCTAGGAGAATTAACGAATGCCCGGTGGGCTTGCTCCGGACCGATGACTTGATGTTCCCGATGGTAAGATAGATTGGCCAGGCTTTCTTGTCCCCAATAAAATTTGTCAAATGTGTGCCATCTGACGCGCATATAATTGGTACCACACTCGACCCCTCCGGTAAGGTATTCTGTCCAGAAAGCATTAGTGACTGCCTCTAGAGCACTTGTGAGGCTTACCAGACCTGCGTCTTAGAGAAAGTATGTAGGAGAAGTAAAGTAATTGATCGTGTTATTGTTCTAGCTAAGGGGGAATGCCCCGTATTTATATTTAATGAAAGGTAGTACAAAAGAGATACAATGAGTCATGGACGTGTGGGTAATAGAATGACTAATAGGAAAGTGAGTCATACGCCAATGACGAATACTATAATGAAATGAAGAGAAACTTCCGGAACTATGAAACGTGCCGAGCGACCTTATTTCAAGACTTCCCCTCGTGAGCCACAGTGAATAGTAGAAGAAAATAAAACATGTTTGCCTTTATCCAATCCCTTTGTAAGTAAATCCGCCACGTTCTCGTTCGTAGAAATATATTCCAGTTCAAATAATTCATCCTCAAACCGTTCCCGAACAAAATGAAAATGTACGTCAATGTGTTTAGACCTTTTATGAAAGACAGGATTTTTAACCAAAGAGAGAGAGCCGTTGTGATCGCCTCGTAGAATAAAAGAGAGATTCGGTTTTCGTTCCAGCTCGTGGATTGCATTCCTTAACCAGATCAATTGTCGACTGGTGTCTGAGAGGGCCATGTATTCCGCTTCAGTTGTGGAAGTGGCGACGGATCGTTGCTTATAAGAGCGCCAGCAGATGAGAGCTTCCCCTAGCATAAAGCAGTGGCCAGTGAATGAGCAGCGATCGTCGATGTCAGAGGCATAGCTTGCATCACTATAGCCTATGAGAGCAGTTGGTGACGTTTTGGCGTAGAAGAGTGACCAATCGAGGGTACCCTTGAGATAACGGAGGACGCGGTGGACTGCGGCTAGATGGGCCTTGGTAGGACAGGAGGAAAATTGCGAGAGCATGGTGACGGTGTAGGCGAGGTCGGGTCTAGTGCCGATTACTGCGTAAATGAGTGAACCGATTATCGACTGATAAATTGTTGGATCGTCGATTTTCTCAGTTTCTGTTCCTTTTTGGAGGTGGACGTTGTTGTCGATGGGTGTTGCCACAGGTCTGGATTCGTTGAAGCCATATTTGATAAGTACACGCTTGAGATAAGCTTCCTGTTATAGGATGATGCCAGTCTTAGTGTGGATCAAGTGGATTCCGAGTGCCCAGTTGGCTGTGCCAGTCTCCGTCATTTCGAATTCAGAGTGGAGGAGGAGGCTGACGCGGTTTTTGCGTTCAATGCACCAGTAGAAGATTAGGATATCGTCTACGTATATTGCGATGACAACTTCCCCTGTTTTGTGTATGAAGACACAAGGGTCGAAGTCTGCTTTTCTGAATCCTATTTTGATTAGCGCTTTTGAGAGGCGGGCATACCATTCCCTTGATGATTGTTTGAGTCCGTAGATGCATTTGATTAGTTTGCATGCTTTGCCAGGGGTGGGGTAGCCTGGAGGAGATTTCATGTAGATTTCTTCCTTAAGTTCGCCGTATAGAAATGCGCTTGTGACGTCCATATGATCGCATTGGCCGCCGGTTTGAAGGCAGCGAGCGAGGAGTAGTCTAATGGATTCGTATCGGGTGACGGGGGCATAGGTTTGATCGAAATCTTTACCAGGGACCTGTGAGAAACCTTTTGCGACTAGTCGGGCTTTGTACTGTATAGGGTTGCCATCGGGCCCGAGTTTGATTTTGTATACCCATTTGCAGTCAACCAGTTTGCGGTGATCCAGTGTGTTGACCAGATTCCATCTGTTATTCCTTGCGAGTGAGTCGAGTTCAACTTTCATAGCATTCTGCTATTTTTCGGAGTCAGGACTGTTGATCGCTTGGTGGTAGTTTGTTGGTTCTGTTAGGGTAGTGTCATGCTGAATGTTGTGTCCGTATCTGACCGGAGGTTTCCGTTCCCGTGCTGGGTTACGTCTCGGTTGATCCGTATCTGTTTCATTATCATCATGCGGGGTATGTTCAGTGGCGGGCCTCGTATAGCCGGCCCCCACTATACTTGCGTGGTCTTCCGAATCGGTGTCGGGGAAATGTTCCATGGTTTCGCGCATTATCTGTTGGTTGATCATGTCGTCGTCGCTTGGGTCGTCGTCATATGTCCTACTTTGTTTTGGTGTTGACGGACGTGAGGGTGGTTCTTGTTTGATCTCGATATGTTTTGGTTTAGGGGGTGTATCGGTTTTTGTTTTGACTTCGATTTCTTCCCCTACGGATGTACCTTCAAACCTAAAATGACGAGAGAGAACTACTTTCCTTTGTGATGGTATGTAGACGCGACAGATTTTTTCAGAGTCTCCGTATCCGCAGAATTGTCCCGTTATGGCCCTTGCATCCAGTTTTGTTCCAGCTGGTCATGCTTCGACGGGTATGTGTATGAACATGGTTTCACCGAAGGATCGGAGGTGCCCAATAAAGGGTTTCTTTCCGGTAAGTGCTTCGTATGGTGTCATATTCGGGAGTGATTTGTGCGGGAGGCGATTTTTGACGTATACCATGGTGTTGATCGCTTCTGCCCATAGATTTTTTGGGAGATAGTGGTCAAGCAAGGCGGATCGTGCCATTGTTGCTATAGTTCTATTAAAGCGTTCTGCTGTTCCATTTGACTCATGGGAGTAAGGTACAGTGAATTCATGCTTTATGGCTTTAGAGGCGAAAAATTGTTGAAGGTCATTGGGGATGTACTCGCCACCGTTGTCGCTTCGAAACCGTTTAACCGTTTTGTCCAATTGATTTTCCATGTATGCGATTTATCGTTCTGTGGCAGCTGCTGCATCTGACTTTTTTTTGAGGAAGTAGAGGTGAGCGTACCTGGAGTAATCGTCGATGAAAGTGATATAGTAACTGAAACTGCCCAGAGAAGGAGTCGAGAACTTGCCGCTCAGATCTGAGTGTATTAGTTCCAGTGGTTGTTTGGATTGTGGTTCGGTGAGAGGAGCGAGGTGGGATTTGGTTGATTTAGCGAGTTCACATGTTTTGCATGTTTCCATGTGACCTGATGTGGGGAGAGACTTGGGTTCGGCGACCATGGTGCGAAGCCGTGAGAGCGAGGAAGCGGGGAGATGTCCGAGCCGTTGGTCCCAGTCATAGAAGCTGGTGACGGCAGAGAGGTGTGCGCAGGGTTCCTTGGTTTCAAAGATGTAAAGACCAGTACTATTTGCGTTAGCGATCCCGATGATTTTGCCAATACGAGGTAGAGAGGGGTAGCCTCGAAGCGCTGGTTGTTTGTGTGTCGCGATCGGGGGCGCCGACGGGTTTGAGGAGGGTGTGAGAAGAAAGACGCATCCTCGTGAGAGAGTTCAACTCGGTATATAGGGGGACGTCTCGTTCAGGGCCTGAAGCAATTCGAGAATCAGGATGTCGAAACGGGAGGGGGTCCTGTACCCCGCGCGGTCGGGCGCGAGAATACAGAAGATAGATAGATAGATATTTTTATATTGCTTTGAAGTACAAGACTTATCGCACGCCATCAAACACCGCCGAGGACAAAGGAAAGAAAGAAGGAAAGAAAGAAAAGAAAGACAAAGGAAAGGAAAATCAAGTAAGGAGATACGGAAAAACGAGTTCAGGAAAGTAGGAAAGCCTTTAATCCTCCGGGTCTTCCTCCTCTTCGTCCATCTCTTACCAATCCAGTAGGTTTGTTTTTGCTGCAAATTGTAGTATAAGGTCTACGTTCAGGTTCGTGAAGAGCCAGTTCTCCCAGGTGGGTGGTCCCGGGATCTTATCCATCAATGGCCTCCGGATTTGTGTCCATCGGGGGCATTCGATTATGGTGTGTTTGGAGGACTGTTCTGAGCCGCATTGGCAGGGCTCAGGTTCTGTGTATGCTGCATGTCTGTCTAGTCTGGTGACCTGACATCGTATGCGGTGTATCAATTTAGCCTTGGAGATTGGGAGTTTTGCTCGTCTGGGGTTTACTTTGAGGGCTCCTGGTTCGTGGCAGTTGGTGATTGGGGTGGAATTCCATTCTTCCAACATGCGCTTGGTGCTGAGGTCGTTTTGTATCCATCTTTCCCTGCGGTTTCCTGGTTCCTGGAAGGGAAGCATAAGTGTTGCGACTCGGTGGAGTCCCGTGCCTTTGGTGTTCTTTATTTTGCTGGGGAGTAGTTGGATGAATTCTTCGTTGAGGGGGTGGTCAGCCAGATAGCAAAGGATCCGTGTACCATATTTTCATGTTTTATGCGTGAGGAGTTGTTCCAGTGGTGGGAGTGCTGCTTCTTTAAGTAGTTTTGCAGTTTTTGTCCATCGGGGGAGGCCTGTTATGACCCTGGCTGCTTGGTTGTATAGTGGGTGGAGTGATCTTAGGGCGTGGTCTGCTCCTGTCCACCATGCTTCTGATCCCCATAGGATTGTAGGGAGGAGGCCTTGGACGACAAGGTGGTGTATGGTTTTGACTGTTGATCCAGGGAGGTGTGCTATGTTCCTGATTTGCCCTAGTACTCGGAGGCCTTTGGCAATGGTTTCTTCGATGTGTGGTCGGAAGGAGAGGTTCGAGTCTAGCCATATTCCAACATATTTGAGCCTGTCCTAGGGGTAGATTTCCTCGTTTGCGATTATGACTGGTAGTTTTGGTGTGGGGATTTTCGATGTTGTGGGTTTGAAGAAGATGAGGTCGGATTTCTGTGGTTCGTATTAGATGTTGAGGGGTGTTGCCTTTTTTACCCTTTCGGCCATCCTTTCGTTTAGTCTTTTGGTAGCGTAGAGGGGTGTCTTTGCGATCTGAACGAGCGCGTCGTCATCGATGTATGTGGTGTTGAGTTCTTTGTTGGAGTTGCTGGGGTCTGTTATGACTCCTGCGTATATCATAAATAGGACCGGGGATAAGGGGGAACCTTCGGGCAGTCCTGAGTTGTATGGTTGGGGGGTTTCTAGTTCATGATTGAACTGGAATTGGAGAGTTCGGTTGGTGTTGAATTCCTTGCACCAGTTGGTTAGGTAGGTCGGGAATTTTTGCTGGGTCATGATTTCTGCGAGTAAGAAGTGGTCCACGCAGTTGAAGGCTTCTTGTATATCCTTTGTGAGGAGGGCTGGT